AAACAAGAACTTCCTCAGGCATAAAAAGATATATTGACTATAACCCAGACGTTTCGCCGGTTAAGGCTTCTTCAGTGGGTGAAAAATTGTTTACAACAATATTAAGGCGTCTTTTATACATGTCGTCCTAATTAGAATAGTATATAATTAAGTATGATGAGTGAATGAGTCTAATTGTTTGAATTTAAAAGTCTAAAAAAGTTGGTAGTAAAAAATGTTAAAAATCTAAATCAGTCTGATTGTTTGAATTCTAAATGTATATACAGTTGATGATAAAAATGTTAAAATATTCATAATTATAATCCCAAATGTTAGATTGTTATTGTTCTACCAGTACAACCATTCATTAAATCGCCTGTATGCTTCTGTATTTCCATCGCCTCAATGCATTTACGCTCGTCTTCATACACAAGGTTTCCATATATAATCCTCCATTCAATGTCTTTATTTCCAGGTGTCTGATTCTTTCTCTTGTGGGACATCAAATATTTATATACTGTTTGCTGTTTCATCGTCAGGTGTTCTTTGATGCGTGTTCCTATTGTCCTACCCGTTTCTCCTATATACAATGCCTCGCAGTATGAGCACTTAATTTTATAAACTACATTCTTGTTGAGACATGTATCGACTTTATTCGTACATTTACATGTTTCACAAGCTTTAGAGCAATGTGTCCGTTCTCTGGGTGGAGCAAATACTCTACGTGACGATTTTCCGTTCATAAATTGAATTCTGACATTGTCTATTCCCGATCGTTTTACTACTGCAAAGGCACGCCGGTTAAATTCTTCATTAATGAAGGGAAGCTTTAAATAGGTATATTTAATTTCATCCTCTCTGGTTGATTTGTTATTTAAGGTGTTTCTAATTGTGGTTTTAACAAATTTCTTAGGATACCCATTATTAACAAGAAGACCTGTAAGTTGACGCAATGATTCTCTTCGTGAAGTGGAATCGGTTGAACATGTAACTGCCCGCTTGGTTTCGCCAATGAGAATTGTGCGCTTAGCAGCGATAGGTCCGTGACTGTCCCAGATTGTGATACAACGACTGTGTATAGGCTTAATGTAAAGCTTGGTGGAAACAGTTTTACTCTCCGGATTAAAGGAAACAATCGTGTCTAAGAAGGGTAATTGGTTTTGGTTGGGTAGTTCTAAGGTGAAGTTAATATTGTCATTAAGGCCGTTTGCTATAGTTAAAAGTCGTTCTCCTGAGATACATTAATTTTGACAACAGAAATGCAAAGTAATCATCTATATAGCGTTTAAGTATTACATACCCATCTGTTTTCTCCAAAATCTGTGAATCTAGATCATTCATGTATATGATAGCCAACATGGGTGCCAAATTATTGCCCATTGCTAAGCCTGATTTCTGTTTATAACCTGTCCCTTCAATTAGAACATTATCACTTGATAGACAAAGGCGAACAAGTGTGTCAAAATCATTGTCATCCAGCGGCCATAGGTTGCATTCCTTCTTGTACTTTTGGAAAAATCACTTAGCAACTGTAAACACGCTTGGCGTATTCTCGTTGAGATCTTCAAGTGGTATAGGTCCATATAAATTACAAACGTCTAAGCTACAAAAACTTTCAATTGATTCACCGTCTATTCCAGAAAGGAATTCTTTAAAGTCGTGTGTGTTTCTCAAGTGTGCTGGTACGTATCGGAGTAAAGTGTTTAAAGATTTGGCTAAATATTTTGATAAAAGTGTGGCTGGCGTGTCCGTGGCCGCGTGTATTGGCCGACTTTTCAAATCATCCTCCTTGTGATCCTTTGGTATACAATACACTGGACAAGATTTAGGTTCACTGCAGATGGTTTCCTTTAAATCTTTATACAGTTTTGGGTGATTAGTTTCGTATTTAGTCGCAATTCGGTTGAGTGATTTGTGGAAATTTATTTGCTCGGTGCGTGGAAGGTTTAGTTTCTTAATTGGTTTGTAGTTACCCGTATCGACAGTGGATTTCGTTACCATATCTTTGTAGCAGTCAACGTCCAATGCAATCAGTCGTTTGGTTTTATCAGATGGAGTGATAGCCACGGTTTTGGGAAGTGGATTATAATCTAGCTTTTTCCTTGAAAGCACTCTACTGCCGAATTTCTCACATTCTTTGATAATGCGGGCGATTCCACCTCTAAATTCATTAATAGCACTGTCCGGTATGTTTTGTTCTTGAAGTCGATCTGTAGTGAGTTGTAGACTGGCTTTCGATAATAGGCAAAGCTTTGGTAATTCCCATGGCTCGGCATTAACAAACGAAGGTCCTTTGTTGAGAATGCTTTGAAGCTTTGAGTCAAAGGTTTCAGATGACAAGTTCTTAAATCCCTGGGGTTTGGACTCGGTGGTTGTTATCGCCGTCCCATGATGTTGTCGATATATCAGTTGTTGCAGCTTACGATCTTTAATGTCATTGAGCGAGCTTTCAAATCTGGTGATTTCTTGATATTGGTGATAATTCAGCGGGAAAACAAAACGGTCGATTTTATGCAGTCGGCTGTACTGGATGTCAATAGCAAGTTGCAGCCATTGTCTGCTGTGTTTATTGGCCATCTTTTCCGCAAGAGGCGAGTTCGTCGTATTGAGAAGGACGTTAGTTGCACGTAGGCCATTAGGTATTAGTTTCAAAGACTTACATGTACGGAGAAACGAAATATTGTTGCAGTGGCGAATCATTTTCTTCGCGATACGATAAGATGAAAGCGTTATGGTTGCCATGCCTGGTTTCGATGAGAATGGTGTTTTAAAAAAATAAAACAAGAACTTCCTCACGCATAAATTCAAACAATTAGACTCATTCACTCATCATACTTAATCATATACAATTCTAATTAGGACGACATGTATAAAAAACGGCTTAATATTGTTGTAAATTTTTCACCCACTGAAGAAGCCTTAACCGGCGAAACGTCTGGGTTATAGTCATTATACCTTTTTATGCCTGAGGAAGTTCTTGTTTTATTTTTTAAAAACACCATTCACATTGAAACCAGGCATGGCAACCATAACGCTTTCATCGTATATTTAACAATTATACCGCATGAGTTCGAGTCGTATATGAGCTGATAGCCGACGAGGTGCGTAGCACCGAGTCGGCTATCAGCCATATACGACGAGAGCGAATGGTATAATTGTTTTATAATATAGTCTAATATAGCTAGCATTAACTAAAGCAGCAATTAATTATTCACTGTTACAATGTGTTGACAATTTGTTCGGCCAAAAACCGCTTGAAAATTTGAAATACTCTTGTTTTACAACTCGAAGACGAAGTGAAAGAAATGGTTTTAGAAATGGTTTTCAATCTCACAGGAAAGCTCAGATATATTATACAGATGTTTGGTACTATAGTAAGTGCTTGTTGACTGCAAATTCATTTGTGGTCCATTGCAAACTTTTCTGAACAATTTATATTCTCAATGAACATGTTTTTTCGCTGTTGTTTCGGTATTAATTCCTTAAAAAACTTGTATTTAAACTAATTTCTACGTAATAAATGTATTTTGCTAACCTGTCAAATTTTTTTTGAGAGTTTTTCTTTGTACTATTATGTTTCGCTACTCGCCGTTTTTCGCTACTCGCCGTAAATGAGCTGATATAGGGCGAGTAATTCAACCAATCAGATTGCAGAACAGCTCATACGGTGGATGACTATATTATATATATATATATATATATATATATATATATATATATATATATATATATATATATATATATATATATATATATATATATATATATATATGGTACCGAAACGGTACCGTCTGTAGTTAGATATCGCTCTATGGCCTTTAGGTCATATTGAGCGCTCTACAGGATGAGTCAGTTTGAGCGGTATGGCATGGTTTTGATGTCCCACAATCGTGAGGCATCAAAGGTAACTGTAAATAGCAGTTACTTTCATCCTGCTCATCAGCAGTACACTGATGAGGCCCATAAGGCCGAAACGGTACCGTCTGTAGTTAGATATCGCCCTATGGCCTTTAGGTCATATTGAGCGCTCTACAGGATGAGCCATGCCGCTTACGCATTGCGCTCGCTCACTGCTTGCAGTTTGAGCGCTCTGGCATGGTTTTGATGTCCCACAATCGTGAGGCATCAAAGGTAACTATAAATAAGAGTTACTTTCATCCTGCTCATCAGCACTACACTGATGAGGCCAATTAGGCCGAAACGGTACCGTCTGTAGTTAGATATCGCTCTATGGCCTTTAGGTCATATTGAGCGCTCTACAGGATGAGCCATGCCGCTTACGCATTGCGCACGCTCACTGCTTGCAGTTTGAGCGCTCTGGCATGGTTTTGATGTCCCACAATCGTGAGGCATCAAAGGTAACTGTAAATAGGAGTTACTTTCATCCTGCTCATCAGCACTACACTGATGAGGCCCATAAGGCCGAAACGGTACCGTCTGTAGTTATATATATATATATATATATATATATATATATATATATATATATATATATATATATATATATATATATATATATATATATATATATAACAAATAAAATATATATATTATAAACAAAAACATGTCTTGTGTTATATATTAAGATAACAAATTAATTCGTTCTGCTAAATAATTTGTAGTATTGAGCACTCTTTTATCTATAACGAAAAACAAATATATATATATATATATATATATATATATATAACGGTACGAAACGGTACAGTCTATATATATATATATATATATATATATATATATATATATATATATATATATATATATATATATATATATATATATATATATATAGACTGTACCCTCGTACCCAGGGCTAACCGCGAATTGAAGGCGGCGGCGTAGCCCTGGTAAACGCTGGTCACGTGACTCGAACATTACGTAATTGTTACTTTTCTGATCCGGGTGGTGAATTCCTATGGTGAATTCTAGAGGTGAAACTCGACGACCAACAGTTTTTAGGTTTTTAGTACGAAATTCTTCAATCGTCCCTGTGAATTTTGCATTTCAAGCTTTTCTCAAAGTACGGCGATCGATCAAATGAATCAATACTTTCTGTGGAAAAAACTCAGTGAGATTTGTTCGTATGCGACGTTTAAAAGACTTGGATATGTCGCTCAAGACGCTCGATCATTGCACAGGTTTATGGTTTAGTACTTTGTTCAGTTTGTTGCGACTTGCGAAGCAAATGAATGCAAATTCAACTCTTGTATCATGACTAAAAGTTGGTTAGTAGAGGGACAACTGATACAAAAGATATGAATACTTCAGCTTCAAACTAGGAACAAGTTCTGATTTCAGAAGTTCATGGACATCCCTAATATATGGACATTGATATTTCACCAATATGTCAATATGACTATTAAATATATAAAAGGATTGCTGTTGTATATGTACAAGTGTTGTGCTGTGGTATTTACGTCTTAACTCTTTAAGTCAATGCACCCAGATGCGCCCTACTTTGTTAGTTTACTCTGTCTAACGCCAGGCAATTTTATTCGTCAGGGGGAAAGTGCATGCTGCCACTTAATGGGTTAACATAGTCGATGAACATGCCAAATGATTTTTGACCGTGGTAGTGCATTTTTGCACTTGCTGGATGATATCGCAACCAAGCATTGTTTCAGAGGAAGAGCCCTGGGATCATGCCGTGTAGCAATTAGAATCTCACGTCACGAAGGTCTTGCATAAAGCTGGCAAGACCTTCACTCAGAAGCCAGGATTAATATTAATTCCCCACATAAACACTTGGAAACCGGACTGTCCCATCTGCCATATGCAGGACAAAAAAAACATGCAGCCTGGACTTTAACTGTTAAACAACCAAATCAGCATTGTAAACAGTGTGATGATTTTTGCTTAGCCCAAAACCAAACCCAGTTTTCTAGAATTAATTTGCAGAATCCTAAGAACTGAACCTCCAACTTGAAGAGCTAGCTGTGCTAACCAAGTCAACAATAACTGTGTATGGGCAACCCTGAATTGAAGTGACTAGAGAAAATCTTCAAACAATAATAGAGAGGTTAGATTTGACTTCCACTACTGCTATTGCTATCATTAACTAACCAGACAAGTTTCATCTACCCAATCAAACAATGGTTGAAACTGCCAGATCAAGTAGTGGCAGTGGAAGTCAAATTTGAATCTTTCTGTATGGATTTCAGAGAGACCAGCCATTATTTGCTGATACATTATTATAACTTGTATAATCAAAAGCTACTATATTCATTTATGATATTAAAAATTGATATAATTATCTATAAAGTGAGATAATTTAAATATTCATAACATGAAAATGATTCATGCAGGTGATTGAATAAACCATGTAGTGTACATTCTGAATCTCTACAAATTGCTTAACATTATTTTACCAGTACAGTGTAAAACTTTATAAATGTGATACATGTTGCAGGTATTAAGTTGCATATCCACCAGTGTGCTGAAATACCATCCAGTGATCTGGTCTTGTTCATTGTTACTTGCATATATCTTGCTTAATTTAACTGTTTCTGCCCCATATTTGTACCCATAAATTTCTTTTCAATAATCTAGAAAACTTCAAAATCATTCAATAAATTAATTTATTAAAAAATTTGGTGAAAGGTAAGGGGTCGATAGATGAAGAAATCATTTCTTTTTGTTCATGCATATGGCCCCCATCTCTGTCAGGTGTTAGAGTAGAAATTTATTGAAGCCTTCAGAAAATAATTATGGCAACAAGGTTACAAGCCACACTGCAGAGTTAGGCAATTTTTTAAAAGATCACAAGGGTACAAAAGGTTTATACCTTTGTATAGGGGGCAAGGAAACAAAATATATGTAGGGGCAAGGGAACAAAATAATGAAATTTTGAGATTCGGGGGCAGGTTTTACGATGGGGGTGCTAAACCTTTTTCCTAAAAAATCCCTGACCAGCTGCAGTTGTTATGGATATTAAAAATACTCATTAACTTACTGACATTAAATAATGCTGATTAAATGCTGAAACTGATGTTTGACTATTAAAATATCCTAGCAGTTCAAGACCTTGAGGTTCATCAGATTTTAGCTTTGTCAACCTGGCCACTCTGCTATTAATAATGGCTTATTTAAATAATTTCAGGTCATTAAATGTAAATGTAAAAAACCCCAAAGTATTTGAAGTTAATACTGCTGTGATAAATCAATCAATTGTAAATAATAATCATGTGAGAAGTAGACTTTAAAACTGAGGGTCTGAGTATAGTATTATAGGCCATTGTCTGGCCATGTGTTTCTCAATATTTAAACTACAAATTCAGCTAACTATAACATACTGTATAAAATATAACAGCCTTCGAAATATATATTTCATAGAGCTGGTCAGTGTAACAAATAATTAAAGGCAACCGCATTGCCAACATTGCGATATTCGCAAGAGTGCAGGTGCACGTGTTAACTCATGAGAATCTGCTAAATAATTTGTAACAATAAAATACTTCTAGACATTTTCAAATTCATACTGTACCTTTTTACTTGATGGAAATCATCACAATAGTACGTACGAGGTTGCAATTGTCTCCATAATCGAAACATCGCGTCATCGCCTCCTCGGCCAT